CGCCCCCCCCGGGGGCCGCTGCGCAGCCGCCCATAAATAGGGGCTCGCTGGGCTCCCGGGATGTGAGCAGCGCCCGATCTCTGGCTCCGCTCGGCTCGGCGCGGGGGGACATGCACGCCACGCTGCTCGGTGTCCTGGGGCTGGCCCTGCTGGGGGCCCTGCAGGCGCAGGATGGCATTCCCGTGCAGAGCGACTTCCAGCAGGACAAGGTGATCCATCCCAGCCAGCATTACTGGCCCGGGGGTTCAGGGGTGCTTTGGGGGATCTTCGTCCTACAAGTGGGTGGAGATGGTGTTGCAGGTGGATTCGGGGACATGGGGGTCGGTGGCTCCGGAAGGGATGCAGGATCCAGTTTCCAGCCTGTGGGGCAGGACCGAGGAGGTGCGGGGCTGGGCTGTGTCCTGTGCCGTGGGGCAGGGTAGGTGGACAGGGGATTTATGGGGGGACTGAGAATAGCAAGCTCAGGTTGACAGGCAGCATGGAGGTGGGCCATGGACTCTCCCTCCACACCACAGACCCCATCCACCCCCAATCCAGGGTCCCAAAAATCCAAAAGCTGCTGTGCTGGGGGGTCCCCACACACCCCTCTGCACTCCCAGCCCCTGGGTGCTGGCAGGCTCAGGGTGCTGGCACTCCCTCCCCCCAGGGGCAGGACCCAGAGCAGCTCCACACTGGGGGGCCTGGCCCCACAGCCCTGGGGTCTCACTGAGCAGGGGCAGGGGCCATGCTGCCCACTCATCCAGGGAGCCCCCAGAGGGGTCCTGGGTGACAGATCCACCCTAGGGAGGTGATGGGAATGGCATGTCCTGCAAGGATGGGGGATGGCATGAGCTGCCAGGGTGGTCCCTGCACAGCCCGTCTCCAAGGCTGCCAGCTCTCCCCCCCCAGTGCACTGAGCTGGCAGCCCGGGGGACCAGGCTGGGATGAGCCAAGCTGGCCTCAGGATCTTGACATGCCCCAGGTGGCTGTAAATGACATCTCAGAGCCAGATGGTCCCCTCACCCCCTCCCGGGCCTGGCGCGAAGGGGAAGAGAACACCCCAAGTGCTGGGCAGTAAAGGGCTCAGTGAAGAGCTCTCCCAGCTGCTGGGTTTTGTGGGTGCCAAGAGCTGTAGCAACTCCTGGGGGAACAGGGACCCCAGGATATTGTCCTGCCATGGGCACAGGCTGGCAGAGGATGGGGATGGCCCTGGTGGGGGCCGGTGGGGGACTAGGGAGTGAGACATGGGGTCTGCACCCTGCTGGCAACTGAGTGGAGCCTGTGTGCAGCTCACAGGGAGATGGTACACCATTGGCCTGGCCTCCAACTCCAACTGGTTCAAGGACAAGAAGCACCTGATGAAGATGTGCACCACAATCATCTCCACCACTGCAGATGGGAACCTGGAAGTCACCTCCACCTACCCCAAGTAAGAGCATGGGGAGGGGTGGGCAAGCAGGGGGTGTTCCCCCATCCCAGGATGGGGCAATGGGCTCTGGTGCCATGCCTGAGGCCCCTGACATCCTGGGGCTCTGCTCCCCAGGGGTGACCAGTGTGAGACGAGGAACAGCCTTTACATGAAGACGGAGCAGCCAGGGCGGTTCAGCTACACCAGCCCACGTGAGTGCTGAGCCCCTAGCCCATCCTGCGGGGCAGCCCCTGATGTGCCCCCAGCTCCCAGCCCAGTCCTGCTTGCCTGCTGTCCCTGCCAGAGCTCCTCGGGTCTGGCTCAATGTCTGGGGCTGATCTGTACCCTCTCTGTCCCACACAGGCTGGGGCAGCAAGCACAATATCCATGTGGTGGAGACCAACTACGAGGAGTATGCCTTGGTGGCCACCCAGATCTCCAAGAGCACCGGCTCCTCCACCATGGTGCTGCTCTACAGTATGTCTGCCCTGGGACTTCCCCAGAACACCTTGGGAGGGCCTTGGTGGGGAATCTTTCCCATGGGAGAAGGGCAGCAGCATCTCACCAAGCTGGGGTGACCCATGGGATGGCTGGGTTGGAACCTCCTTCCTGGGGAACTTGGCCATTGCTGGGCTGCCTGTGCCCTGGGACAGCATGACCCTGCTCTGGGGGGTCCAGGGGAACTGCCCTTCACCCTGCTCTTCACTGCAGGCCGGACCAAGGAGCTGAGCCCTGAGCGCCTGGAAAGGTTCACCCAGTTCTCCAGGGAGCAGGGCCTGATGGATGAAGAGATCCTCATCCTGCCCTGGACAGGTGAGAAGCAGCTGGGGGGGGCAGGGGTGGCAGTGGGGGGCTGGGAGGGAGATACAACCAAGGAGACAAGGAGACCCCCCTGGCTTGTTTCTGCCTCCCTGTGGAGCCAGTGTGGGTCAGCCATGGGGCGTCCCTCTGGGGAGTCCCTCGGGGGGTGCAGATCCTCAGTCCCTGATCTCTGCTTTCCTTCCTCCTGCAGACAAATGCATGGCGGATACTGCCTAGGTGAGTCTGGCCTGGGGCTCAGACCAGCCCAGTGGGAGGGCATGGGTTGTGCTCAGAGCCCCACCCCCCAGAGTGCCCGTGCCCTTCCATCCCCCCGATGCTGCACCTCTTGCTCGCCCCTGCTGGGGGCCCCTCACCCCATCCCCATGGGGTGGCTCTTTTGTTATGCCCATCCACTCAGCACGGGGCTGGCAGGGCTGATGTGTCCTCCTGTGTCCCTCCGTGTCCCCCAGCTCAGCTGCTGCCCCTCCCATCTCTTCCCGGCAGACCCACC